TATTACGATTTTGAATAATACACTAACAAATTATAATATATTTTTATAAAACTTATAAAAAAACTATTAAAAAAACTTGGTTCGTATATTTGTATGGATATTTATATTTTTGTAATATTATCTTTGTGTTAAAAAAAACTATTTAACACTATTCTTTTTTCTTATATAATAAAATAATAATTAAATATTATATGATGAACAAGAATAAATAAAGCTGTTACTTTTTCTTATATCAAGGGATAAATTTATATACTGAAATTAAAGTTTTATTAGTATAAATATTTTAGTGAGATAATATATTAATTATTTTACAAGCTAGCCCTAACATACTCATATTTAATGTTCTGGCTAAAAAACAATGCTGGTTAAAAGATATGAAAAAAAGCTTATAACCTTATTGTTTTTTAGACTTAACGTTGATTAAAAGAGGTAGAAAATAGATAATAACACTATTACTTTTAAGATTTAAACGGGCAAGGCTGTTAAAATAACTCATTTAATATCTATGTTCCGTGCATCGCACGGGGTACGTACTAGTGTATGTGAAAGGGAGCATTAGATAGATTGTTGAAGGTAATAAATGTATCATTGTACAACTTGCTCTTGGTTTGCTGTATAGAAGTTAACTAGTGTGGTACCCGTGCGATGCACGGACTAGTTTTATTAAGGTAAACATTTAGATTTAGATGATTGGATGATTGGAAGAACGTAAAACGCATGGATTTGATAAAGCAAAATGTAACTTATATATTATTAAATGCATCCTTGACACAATATTAACCGTTTGGTGTTTTGGTACATCATCTATCGCCACAAATTATAGTTTTTAAACTCTTAAGATTCGTAGCCCGTGAAACAACTACATAAAATTGGTCGTGAATGTTATATAATCATATACAAATTCAAATTAATGGTGTTATGTGTCGTTTTATTTATGTTCATGTGCATTTTGGCTAAATCTGACGGTAACAACCACCACTCCCGAGTACCGAAAAAATTAAAAGACTCAGGCTGAAGCTCCATCGGCATAAAACAACATACCTTCGTGTATACGTACCTAAAAAAAATAAATACTTGAAACTTATATATATTAGGATTCTAGATAAACTTAATAAATCAATTAAATTATTTAATAGGACATATATGATATGATTTATATTGCTTTTATGAAGATTGCATAGCCAAATATAACGGAGACTATAAAACGTCTTTCTTAATAATTTATAGCCTTATTGTTTTAAAATTGTAAAATCCTTAATCTAAGGAAGGGAAAAACTGTATACGTGTATGCAATCAATTTCAAATTTGTATTCTAGAGGATTGAACAAAACCCAATTTTTTAGGTACTTCCAACCTGATTTCATTTTGAATTCAAATTCATATTATCTGACTTTATTTTATGTTTAAAAAAATCCGAACTAAAGAAAGTAGAAACCAAATGATAAGGAATTTTTAAATTTTAATTTTCAAACTGAAATTTTGCCCGATTTATATGCAATCTGATTTTTGAAAATAAACATAATTTGTTGCAATTAGGTAAATATACATGTTACAATATTTTGCCTAATTTGAAATTCTTGTTTTATGATAAACAATTTTTTTTTTTAAATAAAAAAAGGAGAGAATTTTGACATTTACAAAATTGTCATGTAGAATTTTAACAATTTAATCCGATTTCTATGCAATCCGATTTTTTTAAAAAAACAATAAATTTGTTGCAATTAGGAAAAGATATATGATAGTATTTTGCCTAATTTAAAATTCTAGATTTTATGATTATAATTTATTTTTTAATAAAAAATGACAAAGAAACTTTTACTTTGCAAAATTGTAAGAAGCATTCAAATCTACCTAAATTAAATTCACAAAACTCATAAATTTAGGGTGCATATATAGATGATTATTTTTGGGAATAATTTTAAAAGAAAATTCAAAAACTGTTAAAAATAAAATTCTCCCTATATATAATTCCCGAATGCGCTGAGCCTACGTGGCTGCTTCTGGTACTTCGGAATCCTACTTGGCGAAGAATCATGCTTCGTAATTAGGTTTGGACAAATAATATTGATATATTAATAATTAATAATCTAGGTTCGAACATTCCATAAATATTATTTATCTAACTTATGTATTTTAATATCACTTGTACTAATATAACCCTTTAATTATTTGTAATTTTAATAGTGAGACACTAAGTGACTAATATATCCCTGACTTTGATTTGTTTCCTTCAATTAGCTATTGAATTGTAAATGTATTTTAAAAGTTGATAACTTTTGTATTTCTTACCGGTTTTACATATATTATATATCAAATTAATCATATTTTGATGATCTTTAATGTATATATGAAATAAATAAATTATATTTATCTTTATAATAATAAAAAATAATTATATTTATTAAAATTCATTAGAAAAATAAAATTATTTATCAATTGATATATTTATTTTTAATGTAGTTATATGTTGTAAGTTAAAAATTATTATAATACAACACATGTAAGTCGCACAAATAAAAAGTGTCATACTAAATATATAATAATATATATATTTTTGTAAAATATATTTAAATTTTCAACTATTTTTTCATTAATTTTAGATTTTAAGAAAAAAATTAGCAAATACCCGTGTAATACACGGGTGTTGTACTAGTGAAGTAAATGTTAATTGATTTTTTATGGCCAC